CAACAAAAGGAAGCTGAGTAGAAATAGAACCAAACCAAGGGAAGAGAGGAAAGATTGGAGGAAGGGAGAAAGGCAGCCAGTTCCTTCCTCTTCCGTGCGCAAAGTCGCACAAAGAGCAGCCTGTTTCTTTCTCCACCATGCGCAGAGCCGCGCAACACAGTTCCTTCTTCCACCGCGTACAGAGACGCAAAGAAGCTCTCGGTTTCCTTCTTCTTCAGCTGCACGCAGAGCCAAGCAACCAATTCTGGTTCCTTCTTCCTCCGTGCGTAGAGACGTGCGAAGATATGGTTGTCCCAACTTCTTCTTCCGCTGTGCGAAGAGCTGCACGATCCAGTTTCACTTCTGCTGCGCGCAGAGTCGCACGCGGAAGCTTTTCTGGCTGTGATCTGCTTCTTTTTCTGGCCACCCTGTACTGCAATCTGCCCAAGCCGAGGAAGTCATTGAGCCTAGCGGATTTCAGCCTGAGCTGAGCCACTGCACCAGGCCGAGCCAATTTTTAGCCGAGCCGCTTTTGAGCCGAGCCATTTTCGAGGTGAGCCATTTTCTAGCCGAGCCGAGACAGACAGCTAGACAAATATGATTTCAATATTTATCTGTCCTTTTTTGGTTATTTTGGTGCATATTAAGAGGTTTGTTCTCATTATTGGGTATCTTCTTCTTGCCTTTATTATTCTAAAATGGTAGAAATAAGGAGGGTGATGGTTTCTTATTCGGATAACCCTTCATTACAAATTAGTCCCATATGACTTGATGATACTAATTATCTTGCTTGGTCAAAATCTTATTTATTATTTATTAAAGTTAGAAAATTGTAGTGGTACATTATAGGTGGTATAAAGAAACCAGATATAGGTGATTTTGAATATAACATATGAGATTCTGAAAACTCTTTGGTAATATTTTGGCTCATCAATTCCATGCAACCCAATATTGAACAAACAGATTTGTTACTTGATACTGTAATAAAAATATAGAATGCAACATTTCTTACATATTCACAAGTAGATAATGATGCCCAAATTTATGAATTTCATAATAAAGTTTATGTTACAAAATAAGAAGAGATGACTATTCGACAATATTTTTCTAAACTGAGTGAATTATGATAAGAATTAAATTATTATCAAGACTTTCAAGCAGATTGTCCTATAGATGCAGTTAAATTTTAGAAATTGATATAAAAAGAACGGATTTATAACTTTTTAACTGGTCTGAATACCGAATATGATCAAATACGGATTCAAGTACTTAGTAAGGATCTTCTTCCTTCATTAGAATAAAGTTATGCTTATGTCCAAAAAAAAGAAAGTAGAATGAATGTCTTGCTATGCATAGCACCAATTGAAAAAACTAAATTAATTGCTTAGTCTGATCAGTTCAAAGATTTACGGAAGTGTGACTATCGTGGCAAGTCAAAACACACTAAACAAGCTTGCTGGAAGTTACATGGAAAACCAAGTAGAGGTCGTGAGAAAAGAAATGGTAGACTTACGAGAGCTCAGGAAAATTTGGTTGAGCTAAGTGAAACACCTGACACACTAATAGTTGGAGTCTTTCAAATGAAGATATTCAAATCATGAAGCGTATTCTGTCTCAGTTTAACTCTTCATCATTTATAAGTGTAACAAATTTAATAAAATCAGAAACTTAAAAAAAGGAGGATGATTGACACTGGTAAACTGCAGGATGACACTTCAGAACATAGTTTACAAGTTGAACATGTGTGATATCTCTGTACCAACTTGAGGGAGTGTTGAATAAGATACTTATTATTATTTGTTAAAATATGTATTTTACTATAATAGGAATTCTATTAAAATAGAGAATTTTTTTATTAATAGTTTAAGAATTTTATAAATACAATAAATGTAATACCTTAAAATGTGAGAATAAAATTAATATTTTTTCTCCAAATTCTATAGTAATGAACAACACTGATTTAACAAAATTTGAGGTAGAAAGAGAAGTGACTAGGGGAGAGAGAGAGCTTAATTAAAGGTGAGGAAAAAGGAAGAAAAAAGAAACAAAATTTTAGAATGAGTAGAACACAAAATTAAAAATAAGACTAATATTTACTTGAGCAAGTAAAGCAAGTCTATATGCGTTAGGTCCAATTTTTTGAAGAATGGGGAATCATTAAAGGGAGCATGTAATTTTTTCTGTTGAGTGTGTGGATATCATTCTAGGCATATGCATACTATAATTATTGAACAGATGTAAATATTGAAAGGGTTATCTTATTCATCACATGAACATGCTATTTATAATGTTACAAGATGTAGAGTCCTAATCCAAGTAATCTTAGGTTCTAGAATCCTCATGATACAAAAAATATGCCATGTTAGAGATATACAAAAATTATAATACAATTTAAATATAAGACGTATTTATTCCTTGATCTCTTTAAGTGTAAGCATTAGAAGGGTAAACACAGTGTACCAAACTTCGATGATGATTTCCCATTATGACGTGTTTCTTGGAAATAGAATAATTCCAAAATGTTAAGGCTTAGAGGAAAAAATTTCCAAAAAGATCCAAAAAGCCCAAAAAAGCCCAAAGCAAGATCTCTTCCTCTGCGATTGGGTGCATGCCTTTGTGTTAAACTAGCAAGGTTTGTTGTGTGAGGCATGAGCTCATATCTTCTCCCAAACGCTTGTTTCATCTGTCTGAATGCTTATTTCTATGCTGGCTAATAAAATTCAGCATTGAGTGTCGGAATTAAGTTGACTATTATGTGGATGATCAATCAATGATTATAAACAATCAATCAGCGAGTGATCAACATTATTATTATCAGAATTAATTTCTATCAGTATTATTCTTATCAATGAATTAGCATTAGTTCTTGTCATTCAATCATGTTCATTCTTGTCAATGAATCAACATAAATTTGTGAAATCAATCAAGTTGATCCCATTATTGAGGGCAAATTAGTAAGAACAATTTGGAGGTTGTTTGCCTTATTTCACCATATTTCAGGATTATATAGAGCCATACTCCTCATTTGATGAGGAGCTGAATTGCTAAAAAGACAGTCACTTCCCATTCTTCTTCGTCTATCACATAGCAGTGATGAAAATAAAAGACTAAACTTTAGACTTGGGTTAATCTGTGAAACAATTAACTACATAGCAAAATCAAAGCATTCTAGCAGACTGGAAATGTTTATTTTTGATAGATCAAGAAATTAAAGGTCTAACGACCACCATCCACATTATTTTCTCTCTTTCCTTCATTTCTTCTTTCCTCCTCTTCGTTTTATTTCCTGCTCTTGTTTTGTTACTGCTGACTTACTTTGTCCATATTTTTAATATTTGTTTTATGGTTTCTCTTAACCTCATATAATTTAGTTTATTTTCACTATCTTTATATCTTATTTCTATTTTTGCTAATAGCTTGTAAGGAACGGGCACCTACTGCTTGTAGGCATGTATCTCAAGAAGTTGGTTTCTTAAGATTGTCACCATCTTTGGAACCAATGAGAGGTAACAGATGTTGGCCACCTGTAGATGCCACCTCCTTTGGAGGTACCATCAAAATCCAGTACTTAAAATGACAAATAAAATATAAGCTTCTACATCATCCTACCAGTAGTAAAGGTGACGTCACCTCGTTCGACCAGCCGGAGTCAAGATACCACCTCATAAAAAGAAAGGAACAGTCTCAACAAATTACAAATGACATTCAACTTATATTGTCGAGCCTATCAGTAAATGTAAATTCTTTTGGTGCATGGGATGGTCCTCCATCACAATCTTAACGCTGAATCTAGAAACAAGAATGGATAGGAAAGGTGAAAGAAAGGGAAAACAAGTAGAAGAACAGAACAATGAGAAATAAATTGACAGTTTTCTGTGTATTTGGACATTGAAGAACAATATAGAGGAAATATAAATAATTCATTCAGAGTTTGGAATTGAGTGTCTTTTGTCTATCTCTTTCTAAACTGGGTAGCACTTGCTTGTTGCTTTTTAATTAATTTTCTTCTGTTCTTTTTTGAAAACAAAAAAGAAATCATTCAAGGTACGGGTTGAAATTTTTTCAAAACGAATATTTTATCTTATTTCTCAACTACCTGGACCTCAATATTTCCAGGGTCGGTTTAGTTAATTTGCTTCTGCCCTGTGTTCTTTGTGATACAGGGTGGCTGATAAGGACTGGGGAGCTGATTTCAGAAAGTTGTCTGGTGGTTCAGCTCTTGTTGGTCTTACTTTATGGCTTGACCATATGCAGGCAATCTCCTTTCCTCTTCTTTTTTTCCGACTTTCCGAATATATAACTCCTTTTAGTTTTGAAATATCAAATGTTATTATTTTTCACTGCATTGATGGTTGTTAGCGGTTATGAAACTGATACTGTTGGTGTTACTTATCATAGTTAGTTCTTACTTTTCCCTAGAAGGTCAAGGTTATGTTTGAAACAAATAAACTATTTTTTCCCTAGAAGGTCAAGGTTATGTTTCAAACAAATAAAGTATTTTGTGCAATATGTTTGGAAATATAGGCTCTGTTTATTACGTGAAAACATTAATGTTATTTCATTTCCTGAATTAATATGTTTATTCATGAAAATTAAGGTAACATGTTTTTGTGTAATAATTAAATATAAACGAAATAATTTTTTATAAAAAGATAAAAGCTCTCTTTTTTGTCAAACTCCCTCATTTTCAATACTATTTCCTAAATATTGTTTTTAATTGCATCAGATATTTTTATGTATGAAGATATACGAGCTTAAAAAATGAGTATTGAATAATGTTTTTCATATACCAAATGGATTATGATTACTTTTACAACTAAAGTGTCTCTGGGTTTAGATAATCATATTGGGATAGTCCAAACTATTGTAATAATAGCAAAGTGTTTTGGTGTGGTAGGATGCATCACTTGAGGGGTATCCAGAGTCTCCCAAATCAGTTGTCCTGATAACTGGAACAGCAGAATACAACAGGGTGTCCCTTGAAAGGACACTCAAGGCATTCCTTTGGGAAATGGGATCTCCCTTTCTCCCTTGTCAAACAAGAAGTGGAATCCTTGTGGCTAAGGCTCATTCCCTTAGGATGTGGTTGAAGGAATCCCCTTTCTGCTTTGATTTGGAACTGAAAGATGCCCCCTCACTACCCGAGTTCAACTCTATGCATTTAATCGATGGCTGTTTTATACGACGTGGCCTTGTTCCCGCCTTCAATGACATAACACAGAGACTTGGACATGTCAGTCCCAAGAAATTTTCCAGACTCGCTCTGTTACAGGATGATAAGAGAGACAAAGCTATTCAAGTTGAAATAGATGATAAGTTGAAGAAGACCAAAAAAACCTGCAAACTCAACAGGAGAAAATATATTGCAAGAAAGAAGCATCTTGTTCGGTAAAAAGAAACATGTACAATATAACTTTGACAAGATTAAGATATAGAATCGCGTAGTCTATTTCGTTTCTTTTTTTTTTTTTGTGTTATGATTGTTATTGTTTAGTTTTGTAGCTTTTGCAACATGTCTGTAAAGACAAGTTGCAAATTATTGTGTAATTAAATCCTAAATAATTGTAAAATTACTGTTAATAAAATAATGTTTTTAGTTTAATAGAAAAATAAAGAGATTAATAAATAACTTTACTTTTTCTTTCTAGCCATAAGAGGTTCTTTCTGAGAGTGGAATCTCACCCTTTTGATAACAAGTTGAATTACGTTGTTAAATAGATAATTTAAGGCAGTAATAAAAAAAATTTTAAAAAGAAGAAAATTAATGCGTAGATCTTGTTGATAAAAAATAATAATTTTATTATTTTTAAATTAATAATTTAATTTAATTCTACGAAAATAAATTTTTTTTAAAAAATAAATAAAATATTTTAATCTATAAAAAAAAAGTCAACGTAACTAAAACTCATGCTAGATATGAATTCTTCTTGTGAAGGAATGTATCAGACAAACAAGATTGGAAGTCTTCATTTTTGTACTTTAACCTTATCAATTCCAACACAAATTTGGTGTCCCTAAAGTCTTTACTAATTAATGGTGGGGTAGTAAGTATTTAGTTTTTAGACTATTGGAATGTAAAAGCATAACTTAAAATTGACTTACCAAGATTATGAGATGCCTAATGGACATAATTATTCTAGTATAAATCGGGTGTTAAGAACTATATATTGATCAAAATTCTCTTTTTTTTTTTTTAATCATTCATTTATTACAATTTACTTATTTTTTAAATAAGAATAAAGTTTATATATATTCTTTCTAATAAAATCAACACTAACACTAATACACACAATTTGAAAGAGAGAAAAAAACTTATAATTTAAAAGCACAAAATTTAAAAGAATTTTTCTTCTAAGATGCGTAAATGAAGGATGATTATCGGGAGGTGGCAATGAGAGTTTTTATGTGTTTGCAAAAAAGATAAAAATTGGAAAGCCTCTCTCGAGAAGCTATGGAGAATCTTTCCAAGGAAGCTTCATAAAATATGTGTGCGTTTATGCACATATGAATAACTTATCTCTATCTTAATCACTTTACAGAGTATTGATTATTATATTTAGCCAGTTTCTTTTTCTTTTCCTTCATCTTTTGCGTGTATGCAATTAAGTGCACTAACTTTAGCTTCTAAGTTCCAATAGTGTGCTTCCATCTTTCGACTTCTAAGACTAATAGTAAGTTCTTTTTTTTTTCTTGGGTTTAAGTCATATTTTTTTTTTTACTTTTGATCTTCTTGAGAATTTTAGGTAAATGATATATATGAAGGCTATAAAAGAAATTGGAGAGTTAAAATGTGATATGGGCTAACTCTAGTCCTTTTTTTGTACACTTTTTTTTTTCTTAAATTCTATATTTTTCATAATTTCTTTCGAGTCCGTTAATTTTTTATCATTTTGTTTTTCAGTTTTTTAATTGAATTGATCGAATAAATTTTGGCTAATTACTTCGGCTGAATTATTTTTCTAGTTTTGAATATTTTTTAATAAAAACCAATCAAATCAACGAATGCACACTCTTACCAAGGAGTACCTACTCCTTATAAATTTCCTTTTTAAGAATGGAACTTTGAATTATGAAGTTTTTCTTTCTTCATTAAGAAGAGATTAAAAAAAGAATTAACTTTTTTGGTAAAGAAGATGAAGATGATGATTTTTATGTTTTCGCCATCTTTCACAAATTTTAGAATTCAAATTTTATTAAAAAAAATCTATTTTTCGATCTTCTTTCAAAGGAACTTTAAAAGATTATATATAGTTTGAATAATAAAATTAACTTTTATTCACATAAGAAGGTAGGTAAAGATTTTAAATGCTCATTTTTAACCATTACTAGTGAGTTTTAAAAAATATAATATGTTTTCATCAAAACTCGAGTATTAAATATATATTTTTCAAAAGTGATTATATAATGTCTCAGTTTATAACTATTTTTTTTTTAAATTTTGACAAAATATCATATGCATTTCAAGTAATATGATATGAAAGTGTACCCAAAAGATTTTAAAATATTTTTGAGAAAATTTTTTTTTTCTCCACAAGCCTTTTTGTGATTTTTGTTTAAAATTATTCTATAAATATATATATTTTTAAAATTTTAAAAAAATTTATCAGTATACTTTTAAAATTATGAAATTTAGTTTTTATTACATAGATAAACAATTTCCCTATTTTTTTATTATCTAAATACTCTTTAATTTTTAAATATTATTTTTATTGTTAATTTAATTTTTTTATTGAATTTATTGAAAACTTTACATTTAATTTAATTAATAAAAAGTTTTCAAACAAAATGAAAATAATATTTTTACATTTTATCAAATTTTGAATTGATTTTTTTTTGGCCATACGGAGTCTTCTTGAGTGTGGTTCTGTAAGTCCGAAGCGCCTACTCATAGCCTACTCTTGTGGCTTTGGAGGGTAAACTTTTCTTCAGTGAGTTCTCTATAAATTTCACTCATTTCGAACTATTTTGGTCTGTTTTCCTCATTTTCTGTGGACAGTGGCCATGGCCACAACTGTTTGGTGGCAATCACATCTCCCGGGGAGGGCACTCTATCCCCGGATGCAAAGTCCTTGCCGGCCGGCGTGCAGTATCCGCGCCTTCCGTCGCAGCGATATCGACAATTTCGCTAAGCGCATGGCCTCCGCGGAGACCTGGAGAGATGCTTGGCGGAGCGCCAATGATGGATTCGATCAATTTCTGTTTGAGGCCAAGAAGACCGCAGAGCGTATCGACCGCCGGTACTCTGTCTCTCGCAGCCTTGGCTCCATTGCTCAATCCGCCGTCGACCGTGCCCGCTCTATCGATCGGGATCTCGAAATTGGGCTTCGCTGGCGGACTTTTTCCATGGATTTTAGTAACAACTGGCCCAGGGTTCGTTTTATCTCTTTTCAACGGTTTTCTCAGCAGAGTATTGTTTTTCGAGAAGAATAATATTGAACGGTTTGATCTTGATGTGAGGCCACGTTTTAATTGATTTTATTGATAATTCGAGAAATTGATTATTGTATTGTTGATTCTTGCCGACCTATAAGGAGCGGCGAAATGCTCGTGAGATGGTGTTATATGGTTTTCTGAGATATTATTTGATAAGAAAAAACATCTTGTTTGAGTTTAACAATACATTTGAAACAAATAAATTCACAAAAAAATATGAAATCTATTTGCAAATCTACATTTTTATGATTAGAACCATTTTAAACTGTTGAGTTCATTTCACATAGGATTGAGAAGTATATTTGGATTTTATTAAATTTGACGAAGTTAAGAAACGAACTTAAGAGTTTCGAGGAAAAAAAAGGTCAGAATGTGTTCTCTTGTATCTCTTCAAGTTTATTAGTGATTCATGAATTACAATCATTTTAATAAAATTATCACTGTATATTTCAAACATGAAAATTTAAATTCAAAAGAATATCTTCTCCAATTCATTTACAAATGAAATGAACTTTCAAGATTCAGTTACTTTTAACAAAGCTTAAAAAAATTAAAATGCATTAGTCCAAAAGGCGAAACAAGAGAAAAATGAACCAGTTCAATTGTATGTTTCCATTCTAATGTTTTCTTAATCTTGTCTCGTTTTCCTGTCTTTTTTATGTTTGCAGTACAGGAAGCAGCTAAATGATTTCTTGGACACGCCCTTAGGAAGAAGTTTGGCTGTAAGTATTTGCTTTATGGTTCAAAAATGCATTTTATATTCACGTTACTTAATGCAATGTTTGACTACTCTCACCATGCCTAATCACATAGGTAACATTTAAAAAACTCAATGGCCTTAAAAGATGCATGTAATTGGCCTTAAAAGATGCATGTAATAGGACAATGAACATGAAGCTCGTCAGTTTTAACTGTAAAAGTCCTTCATCTTACTTGAAAAGGAAATATAAACTTTGGGTTGGAGATTTTTGTCTCTACTTCATTGTGAGGTATAGGGAGGACCAAGGAGCATAAGACGTTGGAGAGAGGGGCCATTTTTGCTAGGTTTTCCGTCATTTGGTCAGAAGAGAATATTAAGAGTTTACAAGCATCATTTTCATAATCTTGCATGGTTTGGCAAGTGATGATCTTCTTTGAGTCTCTTTGGACTAAGACCCTCGATTTCTTTAACAGAATACTTCTACCTGCTTTTCTAAAGGATTGGATCTCTATTTTGTCTTGGGACTTTCTGTTTTCCATTTAAATTTCTTGGTTCTGTCTTTTATCTTTTGAGGATCTTGTATCCTCTCCTCTTTTACATCTTTGGGTTTCTCTTTTTCTTCTTTTATGAAGAAAAAAAAGTAGCAGAAGACAGTAGTCAAAATTCATTGCCTTACGCTGCTCAATCCCATGAATTCTGCTTTTCGAGAAATTAGAGAAAAATTTCTCAGAATCTTGTTTGAATTAATGTGA